AAGGTGGAAAGACCTTCCCCGGTTCTTCGTTCGCGAAGTGACTGGCCATTACTTCCATGATCTAAAGTAATGTCTTTCCTGCTAAAAAGAAAAGCATTAGCATGAACACTACAATGAACACTCTACAAATTCTTTAGCATGAACACTCTACAAATACAAATGGGCTAAGCTTACAATATCACCTTATGAAAGAACGTGTTCTGGGCTCAGAACAAAGCACAGCACTTCAGTTCTGTTGTATCTCTAGCTTTGTGCTTCATTAAACAGCCAGGAGCTCCCAAGGTGATTGAATAGCTCTTGAAATGTTTGTAACAGATCTGACAGTTGACAGGCACTTTAGAAACGAAATTACCTTTTTCTTACAGACCATAGTCCTAATTTTTCCTTGTTTCATGTTTGAAGTGTATAAAATATGGTCTATTTGATCTTGAACAAAGTAAAAAACCAAACTAACAAAACCCTATCATAACCCTCCTTGTAAGACCAAAGGATACTACAAAAGGAAGGATAAAGAAGAAGACACATTCTCATTCATCTTCTATTTCCTTTTCTTTAATTGAGTGTTACTCACTTAGTTCAACCAGTAGGGTATTCTCCTGTTGAATTCCTCACCTTTGCAGATCGCCAGATGTTCACATTAGCCTAAGTGTTCCATTTACCACCAGTTCAGGTGGCTGCAGCTTGACTCTGCTCCAGGAAGTATTAATTTGTCCAAATGTCCTTCTAGCTATTGGTAAAATTTTTCTCATCCACATGTACTCATAAATCAGCTGTTCTTTATTTCGTATGTGTTAAATCTTCACTTCAGAACTCTGAGCTAAAGGCAAGAAAATGTCTTAGGATCTGGAGACTGGGAGAGAACAAGAAGTCATAGCTGTGTAAAACACTAGAAAGGCCTCATTAGATGTCAATGAGGCTGCTGCATTAGGTGTCAATTGTCGCTGTTACTGATATGTTTGTTGTACTTTGAGAGACTGCAGTTGACAGGACAGTATCTACCACCAATTTATGTGACAAAGAGGTGCTTAATTTTTTTGATCTGGATGTGTTGACTTGCTTTGGTGTGTCTTACGCCTCCTTTTCAGATGTGCCCTGCAGCCCTTCTTATGTCTCAGGTCTGTCTTTTACCTGTTGTTGTGGTTAGAGGGCTAATATGGGAATTCAGTTGAGAACATGTAGTGGCTTCCTTACCCATCAACATGGCCTTATGGTGAACACCCTAGGCAGAGGTAAAGTGGTGCTGTTTGTTGGTGTTTTCAATGGTGCCATTCCAGAGACGTCAGCATAAGAAACCTTTTTCAAACCAGAATTTCAAGGAAGGAAAGCTTTCTGGTTTTTTTATAAGTGAAACCACATATCCAGCCTTAGGTCCTTTGCTTTACACTGCTTCATCACAAATGGCAGCAGCAAAAAGCACTTGTAGCAATGCCTGCAGCTGCTCCTCAGGAAAAACAGCAGTTTGTGCAGCATTTCAATTATTGCATAGCCACTTTAAAGGAAAAATGTTCTTTTCTATTTTTCCTTTCTTTTGATCTTTAGTGTCTGCTACAGAAAATACTGGTGTTAAGATTTTGATATTTGAAAGCAGGGATGTAATCTGGACATGGATGTAATCTGGATGCTGGAACTCTTTCCAACTTGTTTTTCCAAGCTGCCTGACAAATATCAAATGCTGAGCCTGCCTCACCTCTTCCATTATAAAATGTTGATGTTGTTTACATACTTCAAAAGGACTGGTTAATTAACAACAGCTTGTAGAGTGATTTCAAGACGGAAAAACATGGCAATTACTGCAAACAGTAAAGGCACTGCAAGCTAATTTTCATTGATGATAATGTTGATTAACAAATACACAGCTCTAATAAACACTGTTACTGCTTTTGAGTGCAGGAGCAGGTGAAGAGTTGCCATGAGAACTGATGTAGCTGAGTTCTCAGTTCAGCCTTACTGATATCTCTTTATTATAATGAAAATTGTGTTTATTGATTACTAGGAGTAAATTTACCAAAGTGGGGGACTGTCACCTTCTCTTAACTCTGCCTGATGATGTACATTCTCTGTGTCATCTCAAAGATGCAAGCACCTAGTGACAGTCTCACTTCTTCTTTTTACAGCCATCTTGCAATGGACTCTCTCCCAGGTAGATGCCAACACAAAACCAATAGTGGTGTAAGGCACCATACAAACAGAATACTCTATAGCATGAGGAATAATTCATGACAATTGTCCCTTTCTTAGTTCTCTATGCTAATCACTAGAACCCTGATTTTTTTTTTTAACTTTCTCTTCTTTAACAGATGCCAGGTTTCTTTTTATTTTTTTGGTTTTTGTTTTTTTTTTTTTTTAATGTTGAGACATTTTGCAATGACTTTGGGCAATACTAAGGATCTTCTACCCAGTTGTTTGAGAATGCCAGGACAGTTCTGTTTTTCATCTGTCCCTACCCATTTTTTAAGTTTGTTTTGTTATATCAAATCAATTAATGTTATATCAAATGAATTAGTCTTTTATATTTCCCTGAAACAGCTAAAACTCTCATTTAGGAGGGGTAAATATAGGTACAAATCTCATCTCATTATTTTCAAACTCTGTCTTGTGAGTTAATACGATATTGCTTACTTGTTGCCTTAGCAACACAATTAAAAACATATTTTTAAAAGGAAAAGACACTTTGCTTCCTCTTGTGTAATGAGCTGAACAGCCCTTTTTTGCCATATTCTTGTTTTCAGTGATATGTTTACTTTCTTTTAAATAAAGAAATTATTTTGTGCATTTCCCTCTCTCAACATTATGGTTGTTTCACCTAAAGTAATTGTGAAAAATGTGCACCTTTGGCATAATTTGGCTTTCAGATGATCAGATGAGAAGAACTGTAATTGTGATCCTTTGCATGGTTCTGTTAATGTTGACTTGGAGCTATGGACTAATATAAAAAGTGTATATGTTGTAGGGGGCTTGCTCTGGAAGCACAGTTCTGCCTCCTTCCAGCCATGTGCCAGGTCAGTATCTTGCTGTTTGAAGATCGAGGCTACTCGAGTTGAACTCCAGAGTCTGACAGTGCTGGTCTGTTCCTGGTGGATGTGCTACAGTACCAAAATACAGGGCCACAGGGCCTGGCTCCATAACTCCATAAATAGTCGCAACGGCAGAAGGCTGTGTCTTGCCTTTTTACCCATGTGAGGATACATCAGAAAAAGATCTCTGAAGTGTGCACTCTGTGCACTGTGAAGGGCCTTTATATGTTTTAATAATTCTGGTTTTATCTGAACACCAAAGCTGTGTGATCAAACTTTGCTTTCTGGGAATTATTTGCAGCTGCAAGTAAGCAGCTTAGCTTTCTTGCACGGTCAGTGAAAAAGCCACTCTCTTTCAGAGAGCAGCTCAGAAACAGTATTTCTCTTAATGCTCCAAGGACTGGTTTCTGTCTCACTCTTTCTCTCACTCTCTCTCCATTGCTTAAATACAAAGCCTAAGAATACTACTTTCCTAACAGGTATCTAAAGTGATGCACAGGAGTAGTTGCGTGGGGCCATTGCAAACTGCCACAGTGAGATGCCATTGTCTATCTACAGGTTGGAAATTGTCCTTGTGTCTTTACAAGGCAAGCATGGAAAAAACAGCACTTGATTTCACAGATCTGGTCCCTGTGCATATTCAGAAGCAAGCCTGCTAAATAAATGACTTAATGGGAGTTTATGGGCTTACTCCTGTTATCACTGCATAGCCAAGTAGGCGGAGCAGTCTGTTTTTGTCACTGTACCATCAAAAAACAGGTAGTCACTTATGAAGTCCAAATCAGTTATAATGCATAACACAACAGGGAGATGCCAGTGTGAATATCATTTGAGTATGACATGTTCTATCAAGAAACTGCGTGGTTTTGATTATTAAAGCCTTTTATCCTGCTAAATGGTGCATGTAAGGCAGAGGACCAGATTAATTTTAGATCCCAGTTAAGACTGGAAGGCTGAACTGAGCTGATCTGATGAACAGACGATAAATATAGACAATCAAATGTCATTTTAACAGCATCTCTGTAAAAAAGAATAGTTTTTTCCTTAAATGGCTGCTCACAACTCATGACCAGAAACACATCTCAGTTTTACTTTTTATTTCATGTTCCAAAGTTGAGAGCGCATGCTTAAAAAGAGAAGTTCTACAAATAAATTCATAACATTAGCATGATGCAGTATGTCATTAAAATAAAGGTATTAAGGTTTGGGACTAATTGGACTCTTAAGAGCTTGAAATGTGAGGTGTATTGGAGTTAATGAAAACCACCCTATGTGAAATAATGATACAACATAAGGGCTTTGTGCCTTTTTATCAAGCACAGTAAAAGCAGAAAATACATGCCACCCATTAACGGATCTCACATCACAATATTTTGATTACTATTAACGGTCACATGGCTCAGTAATTTGGAGGACTGTGGTACATCAGTCCTGCACCCCCTGTGTTTGGTGGCAGAACTAAGCCTCCTATACGTTTCAGTAACTACAAATTTTAGCCTTAAATAGTGAACACAGAAACAAGGATTTGTGGTTATTTACTGAGCTATCTGTGTTATTACAGTAGCAAAGTCCCTTGATTCTTAGTCAAATAAATTTTTTATCCTCATTAATTGTAATTTTTCTCTGTGAGAAACTAAGTTTTGGAATTCTATATTTAGAAATAAAGGATTTCTATATTGAAGAAGGGAGAAGGAGTTGCTTTTTGTATGCAGCATTACTGCACTTACCTGTAAAGTGGGAGTTGCAGCTAAGCCTCTGAGTCTGCAGCTTGCAGCTGGAAGGGGGTGCTTGGTGGATGTGAAACTCTCAGCTAGCGGATTGAAAAGGGTTTATCATCTCAGTATTTGTTATTTTACATTTTTGGCTGATGCTGGCAGCTCCTCTCTATCTATTATGTTTTATACATTTTAACCTTAGCAGCAGGAGTCCACTGCTGCTTTCAATGCTCTGCTGACTTCCTTTCTCATCCCAATGGTACTTTTTCAGACCTGCAGCTCCCAGTTGTCGCCCCAGAGTGTTCTGGCCAGCCTGGACCATCAAGGGCCAGCACCACAAGCAACATGTCCCAGGGCAGCAAAACCACTGACAAGACACGTACCTCTCATCTGCAGCACCAGTGGAAGCAGCACACAAGTGCAGACCTGTAAGCTTGAGATACCCTGTCCTCAGGAACTGCCAGTGCTTCATCATGCAGTTAGCTGGGAGTCAGGGATGCAGAATGTAGCAAAAGAGGAGAGCACAGCAGATGGAGCACTTGGATGTATTGCATCTCATACTTTCATAATGTTTGTTTCTGTATTAGCCAAGTTTGCACACGTTTTGAGTGCCAACATCTAAGACTTTATGTTGAGGGCATTGAAGAACCTAGAAAGATAAATACAGACACAGAGACACCCCTGAATGTTTAGGTCTCAGACTGGCTGAGCTGTTTCCTGCTCCCATCCCCACCTTGCCCCTACCACAGACACACATACGTGGTCCTTTGCACAGAGATTCTCCCTTAAGTGAAGAAGCAAGTACTTGAAAACTTGTCTGTTATCAAGTGCTGTTTCCTATATTACTATATTCCTATTATTCCTATTTCACAAATTTTATGCTTTGAGGACCTGCTGTTCTGCAGAGGGAAGAAGTTCTCCTTCAGATAAATGTTGTTAGACTTCCTTAACAGATAGCAAAACTGCGATCTGGAAAGGCCACATGTTGCCAAAAATTGCACAAAAATGGAAGGAGAGCCCCTTGTCTTTTACCAGTAATCAGTCTTAGAGACCCATAATTTGAATAGTCATCTTCCCATTGCATTTGCTATGAGGTAAATTGATACTCAGAGATTTTAACAGACAGATTAATAACCACATTTGTTAATATGCCCAAATACAGCTCATATTTCCCCAAGTAATGAGCTTTTAAATAACAGATTTTTTTTCCTTGAGTTTGGGTTTTTTTTTTCTGTCCTGCTTCTGTAGCTCATTCTTTTTGTGCGTAGTATGGGAGCTGTAGACCAGTTTTTAGAGAGCCATGTCACTTCCCAGATAAAGTTAGCTTGCATAATTCTTGGGTTAACTGAGATATTATGGTTTATTTATAGGTATCCTAGTCTTTCCTAATATTTGGATTTATTGTATATGGCTTTCATTAGGGAAAGTATGCAGCACTGCGTTTCTGTCCTCTTATTACATTGAGGAAAGTACTAACCATATTGCAGCCTTTCCACAGGGTTTGATGGGGTTTCTGTATTCACTACTAATCAGTGTTAAATCTGGGTACCTTGACTATGCACTTCTGTTATTTAAGATGATTGGATTTCTTCAATGTTTAAATAATCTTAATATTTCACTTTGAATGTCTTGGGTTTGCAACAATTATAATATTCCAAAAATGCATTTACCCATATATACTCTCAAAATTTACTCCCTCCTAATATAGTTGCTTTATGTGTTTCAAAATTAAGATTTAAAAATGCTGAAAACAATGAAATGACTTCATGTAAGCTTTGTTCCAGGCTGCTTGATTTAATCTACTATGTTGCTTACCTTCAGGGAAAAAAGGTTAATTTCCTATTTACAACGATTTCACTATTTCACTATTTTCTTAGAACTCATTGTCAAAAGCACTGCATTAATGCTGCATATTTTTATTACTTTCCAGGAATCAAGTATCAGCTTCATCAGAGCACAAGGACATCCTTAAAGCTCAAGACCTTTCTGTCATCATCAAAGCATATGTGCTTGTGACATCCTTAACACCTCTGAGGGCATTCATTCATTCAACCACCAGTGTCTGGCATCCACCCAAGAAGAAGCATTTTACCATAAAGGTCAAACATTTTGTTTCTAAATTTTTCCATCTTTCAGGCAAAGTACACAGACAGAAAGCAAGATAATGTCTTTCTTCTCTTTTACCTCTTCTTTGGTAGCAGTCCACAGCCTACAGTGAATGTTCTTGTAATGTACTGTTTTCATTTCTCAAAGCAAACTGGGTTTGCTTCATGAAGCAGGGCAGCATTGCCCTGTGCACTGGGGGCATTTGCATGCCTCAGAGCCCATTTTTATTGGTGACATTTGACAGCAGTTGCAAGGTTGTTTTCTCTAAAGCACAGCAGTGTGGGTGCTGCCACACAGTAACAGCTTTTTTCTGGGAGATTGACAGTGTTGTAAAACAGGAAAGTAAATATTTAAAACAGTTTGTTTAGATTCCTTTTTTAGGTGCAGTAAAACAGACTAGAGGAAGGTCAGGGCACTTCTAAATAAGGAGAAGGAAGTATATCATGAAGAGGATGGGATTCGAAAGGTGCAGAGGCAGCAATATGGGGGCCCTGCTATGATCCCCTTGCCATGCATTTTCCAGTCTTAGCATCTATGGGGCTCTAGGCTCTTTCACTCTCTCAACCCTAACACTAACCCTAAACCTCACTATGGTCTCGATTTTATGAAGAAGGATGTGCCTTACCTGGATGAATTATCTCCAAGTGCCTGGAGAGACCCCTCTCTCTACGCATTTCGTTTGCTCAGCAGACCTATGAATTTGAAGATATGCCTTCGCATTCCTTTCTTCTTCCAGCAAGGAACTGTGCTTCCAACACATCAGCTCTTTGTGAAGAAGCTACAGTTGTGCAGCTTCTTCTTTCCCTTTAATGGTTTAAGATCACAAAGCATCAGTTATTTCTTGAAGTCACATAGATCAGCTCCTGCAGCAGCCATCAGAGGATGGGTGCACTTTGCCCATTTAGTGTTCTTGGAGTAGGAACAGGTCTTGGCTTTGGATCAGTCTGAATGTTGTGGTGTCACTGTCTGGACTCTTAATGATGTCAGCCATTTGGTATGTTCTACAAATTTAGCTCTCTCAAAGTGAAGTGCCTAGTTCTAAGCTCTTTATCTAATTCTAGAGAATTCTATCTAATTCACGTCTAGAGAACAAATCATCCCATCCAGATTAGATACTAGTTTTGGAGTGAGATGAGTTTCCTGGTAAAAGTGTCTGCTTCCTTCTGTGGGCTATAACGTTCTCAGAGAACATGCCAAATTCTGGATTACCAAAATTAGGTGAGTGAACCTACTGCTCTCTTCCCTCACTTCAGAAGCTATGGAAGCCATTGGAGATATGTTACTTTGCCATCTATTTTCCTCTGTTTACATTTATGAAGACTAATGGTCACTCACTTTCAAACCTTGGATTTCAGTTTTGGTTTATATTTATTAAAATAGGACAATACCCAGCAGCATCACTATTGCAGCTGAAACAGTCATTAGTAATTGTGATATAGCTCTGTAAAACAATTCCCACTGAGGAAATTCTGCTGAACAGGGTGTCAGCCACCATTTACAGAGCACTTTGGCAGCTGAAGAAGCAATAAAAATGATAGCAGTGCATCTGCAGTAGTTCCAATCTGTTTACTGCTGCTGTGGTGGGTGTTTCACCTTTAGACAAACTTGTCAAAATGGTGAGAAATAAACTAAAAACAGGCACCACAGAAAGCACATTTGTAGTGATGTAGAGTGTGCCCTGTAAAGAACATGGAAGGGGACAGGGATTTTCCAGGAGAAGTGAGATGCTGGGAATTCATAGAGTGGCAAGAAAGCACTACTGGGAAAATCATAAAGAGGGTCTGTGCTTGATGCAGAGGCAACAGGCAGATCACCCATCAGAAAATAATAGCTGGGAGAAGGTATAAATTTAACCATTGATACCCTTTAGGATGCAATTACGTCAAGTTTCTCATAAACTCCATGGAGCTGTCATTTGCCAGTGGGACATACAATGCCAGCACAGTGATCTCCTTTCCCAAAGGAGCTAGTGGAGCTTGATATGTTTGTACCAGCTAAGGAACCTGGTCCAGAAAGCTCCTAAGCTTTAAGTTTCTGCTGGCTCTATTATGTAGGGTGGAAATGGTTTGTCACGCTTTGAAGCACCAACCTGTCAATAGTCAATATGGACAGAAAGGGTCTCTAAGACCTGTTCTTCCACTGATTGACAGAATACACACCGCTATTTCTAGGGACTCAACATACCTATAGAGGAGACTTTGATCTGGAAAGATTTCCTAGTGTTTGATGTGCTGCTTCCAATAATGCTACACAATAATTTAGAGCCCTCCTCTGTGTACAGACCTCTGTTGAGGAATTTTTGTCTCATACCAGTATAATTAAATATTATCCATGAGAGATTCGTCCACTTTGTGGTTAACTTGGTTAAAGCATTGCTATCACAAACTCAGTATGTTAAGTATGTTTAAAGTTTGATCTCCTGTGTACAGCAACACTTTACAGTTGCTAGTAGTCACCAGAATATGGTATATATGGAGAAGTTTTTAAGAAAACTGGAGACGGGGTAGCAGATGATATCAAAAAATTAAGAGAAACTGTGTAAAGAGAAAACAGGAGTTTAATGAATTAAATAATATCGCATTCTCCACTGCTTTGTTTTTTCTTAGTAAACTATTGTAAATGATTTTTGCAATGCATATTTACTTATCCTAGTCATAGTGGCATGGCTTCAGAATGATTACTTGAATAAGCCTTGGTCAAATGGAAGTTCAGCAAGAGTTCAAATATGTTTTGCTCACAGACTGCCAGGTTTTCTCTGGATTATACATATTTTAGCATCTCAGTTCAGAAAGCAAAAGAAGGTAAATCCTGAGCTGGCAGGATGATTTTGTGTGTAGTCAATGGGTAAAAAAGTGCTGCTCTAGATTTGGGCCCAGCAGGGGAACATGCAAAGGATGCAGGGGAGAGAATGGCTTTCTGCCACACAGATGTTTTGATATATGGCTTGCGTAATAGCCCTGTTTCCTTGACGAAATTTGGAAACCCCTTATTTAGACCATCTGTGTGTTGAAAAATTAGTAATAAAATAGAATCTTTCTATTTTGCATATGGGACCAATTAAGGGAAGGGTCTCTGTCAATGCATGCAATAATTTCCTTTGTGTTAATCTACATTATGCATGTGTATTGAGAAGAATGCTGACCCCTGAATAATTTTCTGTTTTGTAGAAGCTAGTATGCAGAACAGTAATTTATGATTAATTATCTGAAGGCTTAACAAACTGTGAAGTGCTTCCTTTGCCCTGCCATTAACCTTTCCCAACCTGATCCCAGTTCTTAATGAAGGGATGCACTTTTGTAGACTGTAATAGCACATCCTGCGTCATCAGGGAAGGCTCTTCTGTGCTGTTTGCAACCTCCTGTGGCCCCCTGGCTCACTATCCCTTTGCTCATCCAAAATAGACAGGTGCCTCCTAGACTTGAATTGCTTGACTGGTGTTTTTGCATAACCCTTAATACGTTCAGATGAAACAGCTCTGAGGTGATTTTCCCGTTGTGAACTGAAGTAAACAAACTTTATTAAAGCAGTTTGCTGTTAAGCTTGCTGTGGTTTAAGTCACTGTAACTGTTGCTGAAACTCTCTCTCTGTGTATAAAGCATTTTAAAACATGAATAAAGAAAAGCACTTTTTTTTTTTTTTTTCTGCTTAACATATATGCAAATACAACTGGACCCTTCTCCAGGAAATCCATCTTTTGATACGTGGAGGTCTGGCTTACAGCCGAGTACGGTAGAAATTAGGTTGCAGTATTGCCCTCAAGTGGCTGTTTTTGATACTACCGAAAGTATTAGCCACACATTTTAAGTGAGATAAAATGCAAACATACATGCAGATAAAGAGCAAAATGTTTACAAACAGCAGAAAGGCTCTGGATTTTTTCACCTTTTTTTTTTTTTTTAATTTAATAGTCTTGCCCTGTCACTTCCAGGAGCAAACACAAAAGAAAAATTACCATCAATTCTTAATCAATTAGATTGCAGGGTTATTTGGGATTAAAATTAAATTTATTCATTAGGTTCTGTAAGAATGCTGTAATTCTCATCTTTCTGAGACTGAACATAATATGAATCCCATCTCTGTTTTCTATCCTCCTGATATCTAGAGCCCTATCATTTCTCTTTTCACTAACCTAGAAATGAAAGTCTATCTGGACTGGGGGAGATCAAAGACATGCTTAGTCTGACATGCGTTTCTGGCAACAACCAGGGAAGTGAGCATCATGAAACTGTGTAACAGGACAAGCATAAATTGGTTCTAGATGCTAGCATAAATTGTTCCCTAGGCAGACTATAGATTTTTCTGGTAACTTGTAAGGCTAGAAACACAAAACTGGAAGTGGAATATATAACTTGATGTTCAATAAGTTCCAGTGAACTTTTATGCCATGCAATTATCTTGATCTTCCCAATGTCTTCCAGGAATGAGACTGTACAGATTGTTTATGTGTTACTTGAGAAAAAGTATTTGTTTGCTTTAAAACTTCTGCTTGGTTACTTGATTTCATACCCCTAATTCTCATCTTGAAAGAATAAGTAATCTTTCCTTCTTTGTCTTCTTCATCTCTGTGTCCACCTGTCATGCAGTGCACAAATACAGTTAAAATTCCTTCTGGAGTTCTTTTCTGCTCTTCTCATTTTGAACATCCCAGTTTAACTAAGAGAGAGTTCTAGACTGATTGTTCTCTACAATATGTGAATATGTCATAAGTCTTTACCCTGTTACCCTGGCCCTTATATCTCTGCTTTTTTTCCTGGTTCGCAGATCCTCTTGCTCTGGCTGTTCTGTATGCTCCACTGTGGCTCCCAACTTTCCTAGATCTGCCTTGCCTTCCCATTATCCTGATTCTTCTTCTCATCTTTCCATTTTTTGATTTACAGCTTCCCTTAGTCAAGCTGATCCACTTTTGTTTCTCGCAGTGAGCTGGGAAATGCTGTTAGTAAATCACCTTTACTTTCCCACTAAGAACTCAGTGCTGGGTTGAAAAATCGTTCTT